TATTTTTCAATAAGAATTTATTGAAATAATATAGTCTTTAAATAAATTCCCTTTTAATCTTTAAATAATAAGGTAAATATGCACTATTTCTTTATAGAAACATCATACATCATAGGATAAGGATTTACATTAGCCATCCATCATCGAGCTTGACCATAATAGGCATAGTAGTTTCACTTACCAGCTTCTTTAAACTTATTCTTTCACCAACAACCATAGCAAGACTTTTTGATCCACTTGAAATTCTATAAACCTCACCTTCCTAAGAAGCTTAATAACACATTCAGTTTCCTTTGCAGCTCTTTTGCTAACTTAATAACATAACTTCAGATGACATGACTTCTTTCTTAGCTTCTTTTCTTCTTCATCAACAACTTTTCTTGCCTTTAAAGTAATCTTAGAGACATTTTGCAACCATTCCATTGCATAGTTTGAAGCTTTTTTTCCACCACTTTTTGCATCAACAACATATTGTTGAAACCCTTTTAGCCTCAAACTTGACTTTCATGAATTTTTCTTTGAGATTCTTATTGAATTGAGATTCTTATTGACTTTGTAGTGACAAAAGAGAACTCTAGTAGGATGACAAAGGTCATTGAACATTTCCTCATCATCAAGAAAGCAGCAACAACAAAACCCTAGTAGAATATAACACAAAAGATCTTCCATTTTTGTTTCTTGTTAAGGAGAGATTACTTAATCAAGAATGGAAAACAAGGTTAGAAGGTAGATATTTGCAGGTGGAGATTGAAGTGACCATCAAAGTTGATTAATTAATATATGTTTAAATCACATCACTTTTGCCCTAAATGATAAGTAATTACCACACACACACATAATATGTTGAACTGATCAATGGATATGCAATTATCTACATAAGTTTTGGCCTAGTCAAGAGAGTGGAGAAGGCAGAGAGCAACATGCAAACTACTATAATTATTTTTCAAGAAAAAAAGAGAGTAAACTAGTTCTCTCTACAAAAGACAAACATTTTTTTTCTAATAACTAATACAAATTGTAAGAAGTAAAAATCAGAAATTAGCTATTTAGACTAAATAGGCTTAGCTTATGTTATTACGGAATAGTTTGAATTATGAGAAGAATGTAAGTTGAATATCCTCTAATATTATTTGAATATAATAATTACAAAGAGTAATGATAGGGAAAATGAAATTTGAGATAGAAATTTAGAACCAATGATGTGATGTTTACCATGTCATTAAATTAGTTAATACATATAATATTATGGGTCTCAAAAAAACAAAAGAGTCAATAATTAAATAATATAAAATTTACCTTTTAATATTTTAAATAATGTAACATAAATCATGTTATTAGTTTCAAATTTTAATTCCAAAATTTAAACCCATTTATCAATATTCAATTACAAAAAGTTGCATTCACCTATCACTTTTGAAAAGTATGAGTATGACTCTATACTTAGAAATTGGATCAAGTGCATAAAACAAAATAGACCAAAATTCTAATATCTTATCCAAAGAAAATAAGTCAACTATTCTAATTATTTGTCAAGAAAATAAAAAAGGTTAGTATTTTTTAATAAGAGGGTACATATTTGAAGTGAAATGCTCTTAAAAATAATTGCAAAACTTTGCCATTATTGCGTTACATTTACTTTTAATTTCTTTTCTTACATAATGGAAGAAGATAGAAGATACTAATAATACTCTCTCATATTTCATTCACCCCACTCAATTTTCAGGATTTGTTTGGTTAGGGATAAT